CTGTCTGTTAGGTTTTGTTGCCATGGAAACCAATGGAAGAAATGGCCGCTGAGTAAAGATGTGCTTTTTTTTTTTTTTTTTTTTTTTTTTTTTTTGTTACAGGAAGCTGCCCTGAAACTGGCCTGAGGTTTCAGCTGCTTTTTATTTTAAATGTCTGCACGTAAACAGTCTAATGCACAAAAACACTCATGCATGAGCGCTCATCATTGCAGTCTTCTTTTTTTTTCTTTTTTACACCACCAAAGTGTGTGTCCCATAGAGAGGTTTTGACCCACTTTGACTCCGTAATGCAGAGACATACAGCAATACTGTCCTGTCAAAGAGAAAGAGGATGTTGGTAGAAAAGGGGAAGAAATTAAGATTAAATGGGCAAAACATGAGTATCATTTAAAACAAAAAAAAGAAGAAAAGAAAAGGAAGACCCAACAAAGGCTGTGGCCTGCTGGTGAGGAGGTAGAGTTGAAGGGATATAGAAAAATGTGACCGTATCATAGGAAAGATTTGCAACTTGAGGGAGAAAAAGCAAAATGTGTAGAAAGCAAGGCATGTGACCAGACCGTGACCCTGCGCTACAGGGTTTCCCTGGAGGGCTTTGTTAATGTGGCACAGCTACAGTGGAGCAGAGGAGCTCATTGGGCCAGCTTTTCACCACCTGCTGTGCGTGTGTGTGTTTATATGTATATGTGTGGCGGGGGGATTTCAGTCTTTGGCTACAAGCGCCACATACATACAGTATGGCTGTTGAAGCTGTATTCTTGTAGTGTGTGTGAATGTGTATTCTGCATGTGAAGGCTGTATGACTCTCACAAGGCTGCTCATCCTGATCACTGTCACTTCATAATAGGGGCCTTGGGCTATCCATCTGGCCCTCGGTGTGTATATGTGTGTGTTTACGTGTGTGTGTGTGTGTGTTATCCATTGCTTTTGTAATGTTCCAAACCCTTTTTTCATTCCCTTGTGAAAGAGCTACAGAATCATGTTAATTTTACCTTTTACCAGTAGAGGAAAACTGGACTGTCATCTTATTTCTTACAGACTTTGACTGATCCTACTTTTTTTTTTGTTTCTCCAGCTGCATCCTCCATCAGCAGTGAGTCACCACCAGTGTCTTCACCAGCCACCAATCACAGCTCTCCAGTCAGTACACCCAAGAGGGGTCCTCTTGGTCCTGGTCCTGTCCTGGTACCCCCAGCAGGCCACACTGTGCCAAACACTCCACCTGTAGTCACCATTGCTCCAACAAAGACCAGCAACGGCCTATGGAGAAGCGAGGGGCGCCAGGTAAATATTTCTTCAGTGTGGCCGTTTGTATTTTGTATATGTACATGGGTAACATAGATGGCCTGTCTATAAACGTCTCATCACCCACTACCAACTAATGGATTTGTGCGTTAAACATTGCCAGCTGCCACTGGGACATCGAGGTGACAGCCTCAATGGCCGATAACATCTGTGCCCCTTCGCCCCCTCTCCAACTTGGCCCTTAGACCAGCCCAACCACAGTCCCAGGCTTGGGCCTCCCGTAACCATTCAACCTCTCCACCGGCCTCACCCCTTTCACCTAAGCAGTCAAGTGCATCGTCTCCCTTGTCAACCTGGCACCCACTCATAGGGGAAGAGAGAAAGAGGGAGAGCTGCTTGCTTTGATAAGGAGTGGATTATGGATTATGGCCTTACTTTAAGCCGCCTTATCTCAGCTTAGGGCTAATAGTTCAGGCCAAGTGCACGGTTATGAACAGCACTCGGCAACATGCGGAAACTCTCTGAGCGGCTGACGGTTCCCTGGAGACAAACAGAAGGGGGATAGTGAAGAGGGAATAAGGAGGTCAGCCAGGCAGCAGTGTGTGGTAGCATTCAGACCATTGTCCTCTCTTTTGCAAACCCCTCCTGACCCCCCCCTCTCTCTAGCTATAGTTTTTATGAAATGAACCTTTTGCAGTACAGGGTCAGTTAGAGCTGCAAGGGACAGACACACAGGAAGTCCTTGTAGAGATGCCACCATTTTTGTAATTTTGTTAGCACAGAAATTTCAAAAAGGACGGACGAAAAAGAAAACAGGCAAGAATGCCCTGTTGCTCACAATTTAAGGGCAGTAATGTGAACAAGAGGTAGGGGTGACTGGCTATGGGCTCAAGGGACAGCAACAGGGTGAAGCGACACCCCGTCATTGTTAGGGTGCCGCTTCACTCAGCACTCATAACTCACACAGAGCCAGAGAATCCTTAAGGATACACACACATCATCAAAATCTTCCTGTAAAACAAAGATGACTTTAATGGAACTTTCTGTTACTGAATCACGCAAACGGTTACAAACAGAAGGAGCAGTCAAGTTCCGAGAACCCATGCAGCATGTCCGGGAAAACTTGTCTGTTGCTGTGTGTACAAATTAATGTGTTCTGCTTTCACTGCTTTAAAAGAGCATTTTAGTGTCTCTCAGGCTGAGAGATGAGTCTGTCTTTCAGAGGGGGGTAACAGGCAAGGCAGTGAAGAAGGGAGGGCTTGGTGCGTTGGCATTTTGCTTTAATGACTGCAGGAGTCTGCTCCCGCTGCTGCCTGTAATTGCTTTATAATTGGCAATTTGGATTCATGGCTCCATCTGAGAGGCGTAAACGAGCACTCTACAATGCGCGGGGTCTCCCACCCTCACTGAGGGTTACAGGGGCCTGGCTCACACAGAGGAAGATGGCTGTTAATGGATGTGTCTTTGAGTTTGAGTGCTTGTATTTGTGCACAGTAGTGTGTGTATATGACAGGCTACTGGAGAATAGTGCAGGAATAGAAGGCCATGTATTTTAGCAGGTGAAAGGTCAAAATGGGATGGCTGCTTGAATGTGTAGGTGCCTGAGTTGACTATAAGGTGCCTTTCTCATAGGATGGAAGGTTTTTCTCTTTGTTGTTCATGTTTTTTTTTTTTCATGGCCCTGATATATGTAGAAGCTACATGTTTTTAGGTAGGCATTAATCCGTACATTAATCCATACATGTGTACATGTATATACAGTCAAATGGATATCAAGCTCAAAATGTGTGTACATGACAGATATAGGCTGAATGCAGGTTTCCAAATTGCTTTGATCAGTTTGGATGTAAGTGGCTGAGATGGACGTTTCAAGAAAAACATATTTGTTTCAGCCATTCTTCAAAGATCCCACATCGCTCTCGAATCTTTGCGCATAGTTTTAGTAATTTTTTTGGCTTGCTAACTTAACCTGGCAGAGTTTACCCTTTGCCTACGAATCTCACAACACCATACATTATACCAATCCTGGTATATTAGTATTAGTTATGTTAGCATTCGTAATGCATTCTTGTTGTTGTTGTTGTGTTTCCTTCTGATGGTAGTAGTGCAATGCATACTATCAGACACTGGTAAAATAAAGGAGAATTTACATTTTAATACAAAAACACTAGTGTACACTATTATTATCATTATTTAAAATCTATTTAATGACTATCTGAAAATGTGAAAATCACGAGCATCTCTTGTTGGCATAACTGGTTGCCCTTCAGTGACAGTGAAAATGGTGAAAGGAAGAAGCTGAAACCAGTCCAGCACCAGCATTTGTTGTTTTATAGGCTTCTTTGTCTGATCGTCTTATGAGACGATTTCTGTGAAATTCATTGGAAAGGAACACTTAATTCAATTTCTGTCTTAATCTATGTCTGGGACTTGCACCAATTGACAGTTATTAAGTCATAGCCATGGTTTTAAAACCGTGATTGCCTCATGACACACAAGTTGTGTGTAATGCAGAATATCAACTACTGATCAACAGAAAAATACCAGATAGTCGTTGATCAGGTCTTGAAAATAAATTAGAATTCATTCTGTGTGTGTGTGTGTGTGTGTGTGTGTGTGTGTGTGTGTGTGTGTGTGTGCTTTTTCTTTTATTATTGTATGCCATCAAAAAAGGTACTGGTTGTGTACTGGGGACACACAGTGAAGGAAAGGTGCAGCAACTGTCTGATTCAGACGGTTGCTGACTCTCCACACCATGTAACGAGCATGCGTAAATAAATGCCCAGTATATTCATGCAGTCACTCAAAGTGATTGGGCTGTTTTATCCTATTCCGATCGCTTGTCATCAATCAATCAAGTGATAGAAATCAATTACTGTAACTGTCAATGTACGGTTTTCTTTCACAATTATTACTCACTGATAGTTCAAGCTCATGATAATGAAGAGCGGATGGGTTGAGGAAATACACACACATTGCACCTTAAAGTTAATGTGGGTTCAGTCACTATCTGATCGAGTTTTAACATATGTGAAGTGCTTTTTCAGGTGACTGCTGGGAGCAGCGGGGAACAACCAGCTCTCCCTGTGTTCTTAAGGCTTGAAAAGAATGGCGATGGCACTGGAGGAGATTATAGAGATGGGTGCTTTGAGAGAATCAAGTACCACACTGTTTAGCGAAGCGCAACAAATAACAAGGAGTAAACAGTAAGATTTTGTGGGGGGTGGGGGTTAAGAAACAGGGTTATGTGGGGAGTCTAAACATTAGAGGCATTTAATACTGGATGTTAGCGCATCAGTGTCAGTCTGGGTCAGTGGTTGTGGAACAGGATGTGGAGGTAATGGCTCACTAAATGGGATTTGTTTTATCAGAGGCAGTGGTGAGAGAGAGGGTCATACTGCTGTAAGGTCTCTCTCTAATCCCAGGGAGCCCAGAGGTTAATTTAGTGGGGCAGGAACTACCTTCCCCTCTTGTTCACCTTCTTTATGGCTTAATCTCTTTCTTTGCTTTCTCCCCTCTTTTTCTTCTTTCTAGTTGTTCCCTTGCCAACTTCTAGTACCATTTTGCGAAACAAGAGATAAATGTTCCACCAGTCCTACGAAAACCCTCCTTACCTGTATATTCATATATAAACATCTTTCTTGTTCAACTTACAAGGGTTGTAGCGTTTTTCACTTCTCCAATTGCATTTGTAGTCAGAGGGAAACTGTAGCTTCTGAAAATGCACTCCCACTCCCACAGCAGGATGTCTTTGTAGCTCTGAAACGGTGTATGTGCCTGCTGAGTGTCTGTGTGTGTTTGTTGTGGGATTGGATAAGTGAGACCAGGCTTGCTGCCAGAGGGAGGGAGGGAGGTGAACGAGAAGGAAGAAAGAGAAACAGAGGCAGAGGGATGTTGCTTTTTGGACTTTGTTGTCTTCCCTGTAGATGTTGCTCTGCACGCACGCTGATGCGCATACATGCACTTTGCTAAGATCAAAGTTAAGATCTCTAGAAGCACGGCTGTTGTCTACCATTACCACATCCTCATCGATCATAAGGATGACATCTCTTGTTTACAATTAGAGACAAAAACAGTGAGGCTTTTTTGTTACCCCTGTCTGCCTGCTTCATCCATTTTACCAAATATCCTCCTTGGAGATTTGTTGAGCTGTCTATTTTTACAGGGAGGTGGTATGTGTGAGAAAATGTACAAAAGTGCCTGAGGTAGGAAGCAAGAGTGAGGAGGCTGCTTCACCACAAGCAGGCCTATTATTTCCCTGTTCTGTCTTCTCGTAAGATGGGTTCCATGAGCAGTGACAACCGTAACGGTCACAGGTCCTCACAAACAATGACTAAGATTCTCTCTGTATCTCTCTGCAGGCTGACGCAGGGCCTCATGGGGCCAGCAGGGAACGTCTGGGCGCAGAAGGAGCCCTATCCCAGGAAAAGGGTGGCCCCTCAGTCCCTGCACACCTCCTGGGAAACCCCTATGCCTTTGGTCTCACTCCAGGAGCTGTCATGCAGGAGTCACGGTTTCAACCTCTTAAGTGAGTCGATCCCTGCTTTAACATTTTCTATGGATTTGCAAAGTGTACATGTTCATTCAAGGCTGTATTAAAAATAGAGCAGCAACACACATGCCTTGTTGACATGGGTGCTGGGAAGCAATTTGAATTTATATAGTTTCTTGGTAAAAATATAATGAATTTCCACAACACCGAACACATACAAATTGAAATGACAATATTTTTTTTTCTTGTTTTGTGCTTGTACTCCCTCTGTTACCTTCAGCCTGCCCAGACAGTTGCCTAACGCAGTGCCACCTGGTCCTGTACCAGAGGAGTATCTCCGGGGTTTTCGGCCTTATGCTACAGCCGAGGATGCCCTCCGGATGCCCTCTTTGCCCTTGGGCCTAGACCCTGCCACTGCAGCTGCCTACTACTCCCACAGCTACCTGCCCCACCCTTCAACCTTCGCTTCATACAGGTAGGCCTCTGCATTTGTTGACTTGGCATCCATTTCCTCTGAGAGTGAACTGTGCAAAACCAGCACATACAACTGAAGCAGATATTTGTTCTGCTCGTTCTGCTCAGCAGTAAATGCAGTAATGTATAAATGACCAGATTTCAAGCTCTCATAGTTAAAATGATATTTTTTTGTTAGTTTTTTTATGTGTGTATTTATTTAACTAGAAGTAAGATTTTTATGAAGCGTGAAGAAGTTAAAGGGAGATGCAAAAAAGACAGGGCAACACAAATTAAAATGAAATTCCAGATAAAAGACTAGCACAACAGAAGGAAGGAAGTCTGCAAACAGAAGCGAGATAAGATTGTCTGTTGAAAAGTACATTCTACTACTGAGCACTGGGGGCACTGGGAGTCTTTGCAAAAGATCAGATCAGTGTTAAATGATAGCTGTATGAGTGCAGGCTGTATTTTCTGACAGGCTGTTGCTAAGAACCCTCTTAGAAAATATCTGGCTCAGCTGTATCAGAAAATGCTTAACAGGCTGATTAAAAATAGATATACATGACTGCTCCAAAGGCTGTAGTAATATTATTTGCATACTTTAGAAGTCTTCTAATGAAAGTTAAAAAAAATAAAATAAAATAAAAACAGCATTCTTATGTTTCTATTTTGAAGCTGTGTAAGGCCAACCAGTTAAGAGCACAACCCATTTTCCATGTCTATACCCAAGCTAGGCTATGAGAGGAGGAGAGCAACAGCTTGGTTTTAAATTTTTTACTTCATGTCTAGAGCATCTGTGGGTTTGTGAGAAATTATTAAAGGATCCTGTTTATATATCTGGAAAGGGGTCTTGTTCTGAAATTTTTATTGATTGATTTTTTTCGGCATCCTTTTCAAAAGCAACAGCACGATTATTAACAACAACAAAAACAGTCAGAAATATAGTGTGGAATATTTGTTAAATTAATAGAATTTTTCATGGACACTGTGTATGATCATGTGCACTCTGTGTGTATGTTGAAAAGAGCCAGGCTTGCTTTGGGCTGTCTCACAGGCTGTGTGCTCCTGGTCTGTCAACCAAGCAAGATCACAGGACTGCAGCACCCATCACACACTGTGCTGTAATGGATTTAATGAGGGCTTGAGCAGCGGATGCCACACACATACACAAACACAGCATCAACATACATCGCACTGTCTTCCTGGATGCTGTGTTGTGATTGAGGTTATCTGACAGACACTGTTACTTCCTTGGAAGATGGAAAAGCCTGTGATGTTCCTTCTTTGGAAGATGGAGGCACACAGGTTAATGAAAGTGAACACTGCACTATCACACAGGGAGACTGTCTGACTCCCTCTTTTCCTCTCTTCTCTCTCTCTCTCACTTTTTATCTCTCAGGATGGATGACCCGTTCTGCCTCTCTGCTTTGAGGTCACCTTTCTACCCACTGCCAACAGGGGGAGCTTTACCTCCTATCCACCCCTCTGCTGTTCACATGCATCTACCAGGCATCCGCTACCCTGGAGATTTCACGCACCCCTCATTGTCGGCATTGCAGTCTGACAGGTAAAAGCCTGCTTAATTGATGAGTGCTGTATACAGTCACATTTATTTATATGAGGTATATCAAAGTGGTGTGCTGTGGTCATGGGTTGTCTTCACACACATCATCTTTCCTCTTTTGTTTCTCTCTCCACTCTGTTTTTTTAGGCTTCAGCTAGAGGATGAGCTGCGGCAACGAGAGAGGGAACGCGAACGAGAACGCGAGCGTGAAAAAGAGAGGGAACGAGAGGCTGAGAGAGAGAAGGAACGGGAGAGAGAACGAGAAAGGGAGAGGGAACGGGAAGAGGCGGAGAGGGAGAGGCAACGAGAAAGGGAAAGGGAGAGGGAGCGCGAGAGAGAACGGGAGAAGGAGAGAGAAAGAGAGAAGGAACTCGAGAGGCAGAAGGAGAGGGCACTGAGGGAAAAAGAGCTGCAGGCATCCAAGGCCATGGAGAACCACTATCTGGCTGAGCTCCATGCCATGAGAGGACAGGAGGACCGAACCAAGCCTGAAAGACTAACCCCTAATCGGGCTGGTATGTGTCCGTGCATCCTACCTAGCCTCTATTGGCTATAGTCTTTTTACCTTTAAAGTGGATATCTCTCTGATATTTCTGACTCTTCAAAGCTGTTTTATAGACCAAATAAATACACAAAATTAATTTTTGAAGTAATAGTTTCATGAACGTAATTATCTGTTATAACATAAATGTTAAATTCTTATATACCAATCTTTCTCTACAGACAAAACCAAAGAGCCCGCTCTTCCAGCTCCCAAACCAGTCCCACCAGGAATCCATCCGTCTATAGTCCAATCACATCATGGTCTAATCTCAGGCCACAGCATCTACATGGGGCCTGGCACTGCAGGAACAGGGCTTGCAGCCTCAATGATTGCTCAGAGGAAAGACGAGGAGGAGAGGTGGATGGCGCGGCAACGCAAGCTGCGTCAGGAGAAAGAAGATCGTCAGTGCCAGGTGTCTGAATTCCGCCAGCAGGTTCTGGAGCAGCACCTGGACTTGGGTCGGCCAGGTGACACTCCAGATCACAGGACGGAGTCGCACAGGTGAGACTGCACGCTTAACTTGTTTCAGTCCAGCCAATTTGTGCAAAAATGTCATACAACATAGCATGTAGTTGCAGTATTTATTTTCTCCTGTTATCTGATAGAGACGAGCAGCTTTTGGGGCAATGTGCTCACTATTTCTGGGGGTTTTTGGCTGGCTCTGCTAGTCTGATAGGGACAGTTGTGCCTGTGGTTTTGAAGTCTTGAAGGCTGGCAGGCTTTAGAAGTTTGTTTTCAGGCAGGACTGTAAAAGAGTAAGAAGCTTCACATCTACTCTATATCTGTCCAAACTCCCTTCCAGGCCTGACATGTAGAAAAATAATAGGCACTGTTTAGGCATTGTTGTAGGTTATGAAGAGGAATCCTGATGACTGCTGTTTCATGAGTTGACATGAGTAGGGGGTTCAAATAGCCAGCAAGTGGAACTGCTAAGATACACAAGGGCTAATACCTTTTTCATCCTCTCACTCTTGCATAGCATAAGCCCCAGACCTTATTTGTTACTGTGCCTCTGTGTGTGTTATTGTGTTTGATTCAGAAATGAGGTTGTGGTTCATGCTGGTAGGACACACACAAGATACACACGTCTGCTATCGGTAACTTACCTACAGTATAATCGCAGAATCACAGCTGACAGGCTGCAGATTACAGATAAGACACATTTACTCAGTGACACACACACAAACACACAGAAAAGAAAACACAAACAGGAGGCATAGATAATTTGACTGGTCATGCAGTGCCTGCTCCTGACAGGTTTGATTTGGAATGAAGTTTGAGACAGTGTCCATCAGTCTGCCATTACCATTTCCTTTCCCCCCACTGTATCATTCTTTCCTTTACAACCTTGCTCTCCCTTTAAGGCTATTTTCTTCTACTCTCATCATTTAACGTGAGCCCTATTCTAATAATTCATTGTTCTTCTTAAGCTCTCTCTGTCAGTTCTTCTCTTCTCCAGAAACCTGTTAGGAGAACATTGCTCTGGCCTCTTCCTCAGTATACTGCTCGCTTCCTGTGTGTGCATGCCTCACTACAAGGGCCTACCAGATCAAAAACAGCTCTTTATATCTGGAGGACAGTGTGTGTGTCTTGGCCACATTCTCACTCTGCTCTGGGCTACTCTGTCTGGGCTTGATAACACTGCTTTGCACAGACACGCAGATCCACAGACATACTGACATGGATGAAAGGAAGTAGGCAGGGCATATGGGCAAATGTTGTGCGTCCCTGCATAGCATGCATGATTCAGAAACACTATTTCTCAATTTTAGAAGAGATCTGGGTGTTACCCTGCATGTATAACAGATTAATAATTGCTGTTCCGTTGTATCTCTGCAGACCAATACCTAATCATCATGAACCAGGAAACAGGGAACTCAACCCTCTCTTAGGTGCCCCTCCACCTCTCATCTCCCCCAAACCTCCACAGCCACCGCGTGAACATCACCCTCCGCCTCCTACCACCCTGTGGAACCCTGCATCTCTTATAGACACAGCCTCAGAGTCGAGACGTAACCATGAGCCCTCAGGGATGGGACACTATGAGCTCAGTCGGCTGCCCCCAGGACCCTCCAGATATGAAGACGGAGCCCGAAGAAGAGACGGTGGTGCAATGGAGAAATATCCTCCTTTGAGAGGTCCCCCAGGTCTGCCTGAGCCCAGCACATACCTTGCTGATTTAGAGAAATCCGCCCATTCATTTTTGAGCCAGCAGAGGGCTTCCATGTCTCTCTCCAGCCAATATGAACTGGAGGGAAGCCTGAAAACCAATGCTGGAATAAAGAGCCTCCAGGGTCACCCAGGGTATAGTAGACATGGACAAGTAGTGGTTTCTGGGCCAGCAATGGGACTGGGACAGGTAGCCTCATTGGGCATGGTCCCAGACGCAAAGCTGATCTATGACGAGTTTCTTCAGCAGCATCGGAGGCCTGTCAGCAAGCTGGACCTGGAGGAGAAGAGGAGAAAGGAGGCCAGGGAGAAAGGTACTTACCCACATACTATGATGAGATGTATAACTTGCTTGGAAAATCAAAGATCAGTTCCTTTTTTTTTTATAGATATAGAACTGACATCCTCATTAGAGAATTTAAAGAGCTGAGTGTCAGGGGTGACCTCTGTGTTTGCTGCAGGGTACTATTATGAGCTGGATGACTCATACGATGAGAGTGATGAAGAAGAGGTGAGAGCCCACCTCAGGAGAGTAGCAGAGCAGCCTCCACTGAAACTGGATGACTCTACAGAGGTAAAAAGATTTTCCAACACATGTGCTTTCTGTACCTTTGCATGATTGAAGAACACAGAAGCGCTCATGATGAAACATCACAGTAAGATGATTGTTTTTCTCATCTCTGTACAGAAACTGGACTTTCTGGGAGTGTTTGGCCTGACCACAATGGGCCGACGGGATGAGCTGGTGCAGCAGAAGAGAAGGAAGAGAAGGAGGATGCTCAGAGAGCACAGTCCCTCCCCACCTGCCTCACAATCAAAACGCACTCCTCCACCTCAGCTCAGCACACGTTTTACCCCTGAGGAGATGGACCGAGCGCCAGAGTTGGAGGATAAGAAGCGATTCCTCACCATGTTTAGACTGTCCCATGTGACCGTACAGCAGAGAAAAGGTAAGGCAATTTTTAGTGAGAAAGAGATTAGAGCATTCTACACTTTTAATTCGCTTACTCATTTTTGCTTTATATATATATATATATATGTGTGTGTGTGTATATATATATATATATTAGGGGTGCAACGATACACAAAATTCACGGTTCGGTTCGGTTCGATACTTTGGTGTCACGGTTCGATATTTTTTCGATACAAAAAAATGTTCATGCCTTTTTAATTTGTCATTTA